TAGATTTTAGTTACAGGAAAAGTTCCCTGGGGTGATGTTTCAGTCAGGGTCCCTGGGGGAAACAGATGGCACACTTTAAGAGAATAATTTGAGGATTGTTTAACACAGGATCTATTTACAGGGTCCCTCCTTCAGCGGGCAGGGATTAGGGAAACCACAATAATGCAGTATGTGACCCCCTGCATTGTTGATGACACCCATTAGTCTGTGACTACATTGCTTGTGGCACTTATTAGCCTAAGGGCATGAGGAAGGAGGGGGATAGTAATTTAAATCTGGAAACAAAGAAAATTTGGTAGAGACCTCTGCCTGACAGAAGCAGTAGCAGGCACTTGGCCGAGAGGGCAGCCAGCCAAAATAGAACTGCTGTACCATCCTGCAGTCTCGATTCTGGATATATATCTGAAGGAATAAAAATCAGTGCCTCAAAGAGATACGTGCATACCCATGTTCACTGTAGCATTATGCATTATGGCCAAGACATGGAAGCAGCCTAAATGTCTATAGATGGATGAGTGGACAATATGCTATACAAACACACACACAAATGTGCTATATACATGTGTGTTAATGTATACATACATATACACATATATAATAAAATATTATTCAGCCATAAAAAGGAAATCTTTTCATGTGCAACAAAATGGGTGAAATTAGAGAACATTATGCTAAGTAAAACAAGCCAGAGTAAGGGAAATTCTGTGTGGCAGCACTCAAATGTAGAGTCTTAAAAAAATTTTTTTAAACTCTGATTTCATAGAATCAATCAAACAACGGAATGGTGGTTCCCGGGTCTGGGGGAGAGGGAAATGGGAAGATGCAGATCAAAGGGTACAAGCTTTCTGTTATAAGAAGTTCCGAGGATCTAATGCACAGCATTGTGACTATAGTTAATAATACTGTCTGCATACTTGAAAGTTGCTTTGAGTGCATCCTAAGCATTCTACACACACACACACAAAGAGCTAAACTTGTGGGGTAACAGATGTGTTGATTATCTTGATCTTAGTCATCATTCCACAATGTTTATGTGTATCAAATCATCATTTTAAACATATATGCATATATTTGTCAATTATTCCCCAATAAAATTGGGAATTTTTTTTAATTAGAAAAAAGAATCTAATAAGTAAGAAAAAGAGAACACTAGGCAGAGGGAACAGTGTGTGCAAAGCCCCTGAGGTGGGAGGGAGTGTTTAAAAAGCTGAAAGTGCAGTGGGTCAAATGGAAAGACAAAGAGGAGACTACATAGGAAGATTTGGGCAGGGCCACATGGTAGGTCCCAACAAAGAGTTTGATTTTTATACTTAAAACAAAGGTAGGTCATTGATAGGTGTCAGGCATCCAATGACAGATTAGATCTATGTATTAAGAGAATCACTGTACTCTGGAGAATGGATTGGCAGGGAGGCAAAAGTGAAACAGGGTGAGCACAGCAGTAATCCAGGTGAGAGCTCAGACTAAGGTGGTGGGTTGGGATGGGGAGAGAAAGAAAAGTTTGAGCATTTTTGGGGACCTTAAACTGACAAGACTTGGTATATATTGGATATGGTGGTGTGGGAGGTGGGCACAGTGTCCAGGAATCTACTAGATCACTTGCTTGTAAGACTGGATGGATGGAAAGCTTTTTGGAATTTGGAAATTATAAAAATAGTCAATAAAATAAAAAAGAATAAGGAAGAGGAGAAGGCGGGGAAGGGGAAGAAGGAAGAAGAGGAGGAGGGGAAGGAGGAGAAGGAGCAGAAGGAGGAGAAAGTTTGGCTGCATTTTTTCTACTTTTTATTTTTTGGTTTCTTTTTTGGCTGTTTTATTTTCCACTGAGTTAAAAAGACTATCTATTTCAGAGATAAAGTAAGTTGTTTTCAAAGGTAAAGTGTGGGCAGAAACCCTTTCTACAGTTTAGGATTCATTAAAGGATTATTAGGGGAGGGTGACAGGCGTGGGGAGAAAGAACAGAGCGTGAGGGCAGAGCGGTGACATGAAGCAGACACTGAGAAAAGAGGAATTTATGCAGAAATGGCCCAGGCTGCTGCAGATTTGAGAAACTATTCAACTTGTGGGAAATGGAGTTGCGAGAAAAAATAGTTTGTCATAAAAAACGCAAATTAACAAGCAAAACACAATAATTACTTTTCAAATTATTGTTTATTTTGCTTGCTCCTCATTAATAGCACAATCTATTTTTTTTACTCTGTAATTTTTTTAAAAAAATATGAGCTTTCTGAAGGAGGACCCTCACTTTCTTGTATTCTGAGTATGTTGGGCATGTCAATACCTACTTACTTTGAGCCAGTAGTAATCCTGGGGACAGACATGAGGCTTAATTGCCCACCTTCTGCAGATCCACTCCTGGCTGTTGGCCCCCGTTGAGTGTCCCCTTTCCTCATCTTACACTATGGTGAAGTGTTCTAACCCCACCAAAGTGTAAGCTTCTAGAATGTTGGGAACCTCCCTGCCTGGTATCAGAAGCTTTAACCCCCGTCAAGGCTAAGGCTGAGGGAATGACCTTGGACTATAAGCCAGCAAGGAGACAAAACTTATCTCCCTGGCAGGAGCACCGCTTCTGCTCTTTTACTTCACCCTGACTGGCCCCCAATGCTTGGTCAGTTAGCCAATGACAGGTAAGATTCCCCAAGGGGAAACGACCTAAGACAGGCACTATCACATGGGAGGCCCCCAAGGAAGGACTTTGGGGCCTACAGCAAAAGGGGTGATGGACCCTCGCCCCTCGGCTTTGACAAAGCCTGAGTCCTCATTGTCTGCGAGAAAATCTCCTAATCTCTTGGCTGCCCTACTTCCCTTGCTCCACCTAAGCCTGAAACAATGACAGAGTGTGGTGCAGCCCTGTGCTGGAAAGGGTGGGTTCCCCGGGCAATCAGGCCTAAGAAAGAATATGTAAAATCCTGTGAAAACTGCTTTGTTTAGAATGCTCTCAATTGAATGATAAGGGTCCAAGGAAGAAGTAAGTTTGTTCCTTAAAGTTTTTTACAGCTCTTTGACCCTGACTCAAAATAGGCCCTCAGACTTCCTTGTTACCTATTGTTTGATCCTTTCTTCCTGGCAATGAGTAATGAGCTTTACCTGAATTCTTATGCAAATGAACCCAATAAAAGCCTGCTCAGGTGGGAGAAAGAGGTGCTCTCCCTTAGGGGCGCTCTCCCCTAGGGAGGGTGGCCATGGCGCTGCCCACTAGAGAGAGTGGCCATTCTGTTCCTATTTCCCCTCAGGACCTGGTTGTCTCTGTGTATGTTTTTCTCGTGTTTCAACGAACCATCTGCAGCGTTCCATGGTCACTGCCGGTCAGTGGCCGTGACACTAGAAGGTAGGACTGGCCTGACCCTGACATACAGACAGATGGGGCAAGGACAGGGGCCTGGAGAACAGAAGGGAATGGAATGGCAACAAGCCTCGAGACAACTCGAGTGCCACTTCCCTGGCAGGTACAGACATGACTGAGTCTTCCTCTGCATTACCTGTTCTCGTGTGTGGATGTTGGGGGTGGGGGCAGGGTTTCAGGTAACATTCTCACCTCTCCTGGTCCATCATTCTCCATCCTTCTTGCACATTCTGTTGTATCCATCAAGCGAGGACCCCAGGGAAGTCGACCTTCATGCCAAGGGGGTGGGTCCCCACACGTAGTAGTCACTAACACACGTTTCTGGAATAAATGCATGGGCAACGAAACACTTGTGCAGTGGAAACTTCTTGCTGCTCATGCTGCACAAAAATTCTAGTTCCCACCATTCATCCCACAAGTGCAATAGGTATTTTTATTTTTTTAAATAAAGCTTCAGTAAAACTCACATTCTTTTTTACATATGTGTAAGTAGCATTTCTCTAGTACATGTACCTAGAATTGCAGATTCAAAAATATTAATAGCTACTTGCTCCCCCAAATCCATAAACTTAGTCAAATATAAGAACTGAGGGACATTCAATAAAATACCTGACTGATAATACTTCTCAAAACTGTCAAGGTCAGCCCTGGCGGATGCAGGGGGGGGGGGGTTCGAATGTGACAGGGACAGGGCCCATGCCAGGGTTACAGGTTGGGTCCTCCCGCCAGGCACAGGAGAGGCAACCGTGTGGTGTTTCGCTCCTTCTCTCTATAAAATTCCTGTCCTCCCGAGAGGATTAAAAAAGCTGTCAAGGTCACACTGAACTAAAGTGTTCACAAAGACCCAATTTCTCCTACTGTTGACCTCTTAATTAGTGTGGAGCCTTTGTCACAACTAATATACACATATGGATACATTATTATGCATTTTATAAATGTTGATTTTTTATTATTATTATTTTACCTAATTTGTTGTCTATCCTGTAGTCTGCACTTTTCTTTTTCTCTTTTCTCCCCCCCCTCCCTCCTTCCTTCCTTCCTTCCTTCCTTCCCCCTTTCCCCCCTTCCTTCCTTCCCTCCTTCCCTCCTTCCTTTTTTCTATCTCCAGTTCGGGACTGGGAAGAGGAGCACTAATACATTATTGACTAAAGCTCATACGGCATTCCGATTTCCTTAGGTTTAGTAGTCCCTGCCCTACGGAGCTCACAGTCTAGCGAGAGGCACATCCATCCCGCAAATTACAAAACAAAACAAAACTCTGGGATGAGCCCAGCAGCAGAGGCTTGGCTGTTCCAAGTATCGGGGAGTCCCAAAAGAAAAGCAGCCTATTTCAGACAGGCGCTTGGACTGAGCTAACTCGTGCTCAGGGTGCCGAATCCCTTGTACAAATTCATTCTTTTGTTGTTCGTGGAAATGAAACAGTTTTTAAGGCCCTTCAGGAGCTCCTCCGCAAAGGTGGGAAAGGGAACTCAATCAGCCCAAGGATGTCAGCACAGAGAAAAAGGGTGGGATAGGTGGGGGACACCCCGCGACCCGCCCCAAACCTCCCGGGAGGCCGGCGGCCGCAGCTCCGGGAGGTGGTGACTGCGCCGAGCCGCGCTCCCGCCCTCCTCGGCGCGACCGACCCGCAGCGGCCGGCGGCCCGCGAGGGGGCGGCGGCTCCCGGGCTTTGTGGCCGCTGCGCGCGCGGTGGGGCCTGGCCGTCCGGGGGCGCGCCGCCACCTCCCGGCGCTCCCCGAGCCCGCGGCCCTCCCGGCGGCCCAGCCTGCGAGAGGAGCCCAGAGCGCCCCCGCTCGCGCCTCGCCGACCCTCCCCAAGTCGCCGCGGCCGCCGCGCCGCCGCTGCAGGTAGGAGGCTCCCCCGTTGGGAGGGCCGCGGCGGGGAGGAGGCGCGGGTGCGGGGCACGGGCCGGGCGTGCGGGGCCGGAGGGCCGGCATGGCGGGCTTCCGGGCCGAGCCGCAGCGACCCCTGTCCTGCAGGCCGGGCGGCCGCCTGTGCACGCCGCGAAGGGACTCGGTGAGTGAGGCCGACCTGCGGCGTACAAAGCCCCGGGGCGCGGACCTCGGGGAGGTTCAGTGGCGCGCTCGGGGTAGGGGACCTGGACCCCTGGGCCTGGGGAGCCGCTGGGGAGAAATCCATGTGATCCTCAGTGCCTCGATCTCACCTTCATCCCAGGGTCCCCACTATATGCTGGGCACTGTGCTAGCTTTTCCATACTTGTTTCCTTGAAGACCCCTTGTGTTTCATCCAGGGTGCAGTGGGAGGGGTCCCTCATTAGGTGGCCAAGGGCCGAGCATCACAACTGTGCTCGTTGCCCGCCTGACCTTGGGAAAGCTCCCTGACTTGGCTCTGCTTTTGTAAAGGGGGTGCGGTGGGGTGGGAGTGCGTGGTGTAATTCCTACCCCCAGGTGTTATTGTGGGAGAGAATGTATGCAAATAACGTGCGTAAATAATAATAACTAAATTTGATCACTTTCTCTGTTCCAGGCCCTAGGTACTAAACAGTTGGAATGAGTTATCTAATTAAATCATCACACTGGTGCTGTGATGTAGCTACTGTAAATTGCATGAATAATCTTCATTTAGGAGTAGGACTGAAGAGTGTAGTCTCCCTATTCTGGTTCAGAAGGTGGGCTGTTCCTTAGGTGTGGTAACACTTAAGATTTCAAATGTTCCTGCAGTATCGGGAGAGTGGTTATGGGAGGAAGGGATATATTTGTCACACGTTAAAAACCAGAGGCAGGATAATCTCAGGGTCAGGAGTGCATTTCAGCATGTCCGAGAAGTCTGTTGTGTCACCAACGACATTGTTGAATGGCAATTCAAAAACATAGTTCCTGAGTTAGGACTGAGGGCTGCTGTGTGAGTTTAGGGCCAGAAGGAGACAAGGGGTGGGTTGGGGGGTGGGGAGAGGGAAGGATTCTGAAGCTCGGGAAGAGGGTGTGCAGGAAGGGGCCAGGGTCCACCACCCCAGCAACATTCTGGACCAGGATTCCATCCAGTCCTTAGTGACCAGGCATCCTGCTTTGGGGGAGGGGTGATTGGGGCGGGGTGCTGGGGTGAAAACACAGGTTTTCTCTTTTCTCTCTCAGGGTACCCCAAAAGTTTTCAGATAGGTTGAAAGCAAGTGATTGGGCGTCCTAAAATGTCATTGTCCCTTCTCGTGTGATTTCTGCAATTCTTTTAATGGAGTTGAGGAGATTGGGAGGCTCATCAATCCTAAAGTTTGATAGGACATGCTCAAAAATAATAACAGAGACCTAATAGATGTAACGAATGAGTGTGTTTTGAACACATCCACCTGGTTAGAGACGAGTAGGCCTGAGGAGATTATTTTGGGGTTCAGTTTGGAATGGGGAAAACCCGAAGCAGGACAAGAAAGGCAGGAAGGCCTAGTTCTGCACTGGGGAGCAGAGGGAGAAGCCCAGGACCTGGCAACACTGTCTGAAGAATGCCTAAGCAGCCTGCTCAGCTCCGGAGGAGGCACCCTTTCCCCTCCCGATTTGTGATACATTTCTCACTTGAGTATTGTGAGAGGTTGGAGTTGGACTCAGGCTCAGTTTTCTCCTGAGTGAGCAGGAAGGACTTCTTGGAGAAGGGCGGTTTTATTTATTTATTTGTAATCCTCACCTGAAGATATGTTTATTGATTTTTAGAGGAAGTGGGGAGAGAGAGAGAGAGAGAGAGAGAAACATAGGGTAAGAGAGTAACATCGATCAGTTGCCTCCCACAAGTGACCAGGGATCAAACCCACAACCTAGGCATGTGCCCTGACCAGGAATCAAACCTATAACCTTATGGTGTACAGGACAATGATCCAACCAACTGAGCCCTCCCGAGCAGGGCAGAAGGGTGATTTTAAAATCAGGCTTGAAAAAGGAGGTATTTGGATGCATGATGAATGGTAAAGTTGGGAAGAAGCATGCATAGTGGAAAGAGCCGTTGCTTTGGAGAGACAGTCAGGGGTTCAAATCTAGCTCTGCCACTTCTTGGCCATGTAATTTCTTTATGAGGCTGAAACTGTTTTTTTTCCAATTGTCTGGTAGGAAGTTCCACAAGCACTATGACCCTTTTCTCTGTCCATGGTGACATTCATTCCACAAATGCCTGCCGAGCCTCAGCTGTGTGCTGAGTCACGTGCTTCACACCAGGGTCACAAACATGAGCCAGGAATTATGTATTCCCTTAGGAATTTCCCAGTCCAGTGAGAGCAATGGACACAAGCAAATCACAAAAAATGTGGGAAGTGCTGCTATACTGTCGTGTACAAGCCGGCATCCAGCTCCCAGAGCAGTCACTAATGCATTCTGGATGGAAAACTCAGGTCTAGTCTCCCGCCAACAAGATGAGTATAAGACCTTATGAGAGAGGTTTTGATCACTACACTACTTCCTCGCTTCTGTCATTTTTCACTCGTGTCTTGTCTCTGCTTTGATATTCTCGCTCTTAAAAAATATCTAGTTGCACCGTCTGACACAATTTGAGCTTGCTATAGCAACAGAGTCTAACCTATTCCGGCGCTCTCTCCTCCATGAGACAAGCCATTGTATGGAGTTAGACAGTGTAATATATATATATATATATATATATATATATATATATATATATATATATAGTTGCAGTGTGGGCATAGTTTGTGAGCTGCCTCAAAGCTCAAAGTTACTTTAGAAGGAAGCTGTTATAAATATAATGAACATAACAGTTTGAGCATTAGTTGAGGAAGGCTTCACAAAAATTACACCGGGGTTGGACCTTGAGGGATGAATATGAGCCCTTGGTGGGCCTTGGAGTGAAGGATTCCAGCCAGAGGAAGCCCATGTCCAGAGGCAGGAAAACACAGCAGGTTCAGAGGCGCGATGGTGAGTTCCGTCTGGTCGGGTTGAGAAATGAATGAGGGCGGGGCGGGGCGGGGTGGGGTGGAGCGAAGAGCGTGCTGTGCTCGGGGCCAGACCTGGGAAGGCCTGGAGGGTCGTGTGGGGAGTTCGGACTTTATCACTTAGGCAGTGGGGGAGATGTCAGAGGTTTACAGCCTGGACGGTGGCACGATCACTGCGTTTTAGGAAGATCTCTTTGGTAGCTGCGTGGAAGAGGGCCTGGAAGTTTGGGAGATCAGACACGGGTGGTGAGGATGGAGGAGAGAGAGAGATGGAGCTAAAGCATAGTAGATCTTGATGATGGGTTACATGTGAGTAAAGAGCACGTTGTGGTTTCTGCTTTGAGAAGCTAAGTTGATGTGGCTAAAATCAGAAGTCAGGATGTTTGGAGGTAAGGTAATAATTTTCTTTTAGCTATGAAGAATGGGACCTTTCTGCCGGGCCCATAATGGCTGGGTAGAGAGAGGTGGCTGGCTGACAACTGCACTTGTGTGTGGTGCTGAAGACAGGGGAGGGACCTGTCATCCTCCCTTTCTTTGAACCAACATTGGGGATCTACTGAGCCCAAAAGACACTAGTAAGATGTAGTTTAGGCCTCAGGAGCTCACCCTCGGAGGATGGGAAGAGGTTGCAGTACAGGGTAACTCTGAGCACTGCAGCAAGAGGCCGGCCCTTGGCCCAGAGACGTGAGGGCTGACGGACAGATGGTTGCTGCCGAAGTGGTGGGAGTAGCAGAGAGAGTCCTCAGAGAAGAGCTGTAGGCTGTAGTGGGAGCACCTACCTACACAGGGGACTTTCTGTGTTACAAAAGTACTTCCCGGGGAGGATACTTCAGTCAAGATGCCGTGGGAATTTCAGAGAAGCCGGGTGGGGGTGGGGAGATGATTCCCAGGATGGAGCTGTGCGGGAGGGGGAGGATACAGTCAGAACTCCTAAGAACCCTCATCGGGCTTATAAAGGGAACTGCGGGGGGTAGAAGGACAGGAGGTGGGAGCTCTTGACTTAAACACAGGCTGGTTCTGCTCGCAGTCACACTCAGACACAGATGGTAAAAATAAACACTTCCAAGTTACAGGACCGCCTGGAGTGGGTGGTGAAGGGGAAGAGGAGGCAGCACGTTAGAGGAAGCAAGTTCCGCACTAGGGACTCTCCAGTTTCCGACCGACCGGAGAGCCCTCTGGAGGAGAGAAAGAAGACGAGAGGACCTGGGGGAGTGACCGTCCTGGGTAGCCAGGGCCGAACCTTTGAGGGCAGGAGCGGGCAGGTGCGGGCAGGTGCATGCACGGGAACAGTTGTGTCTGATTACTCTTACCTCTGCATAAAATGACATTGCGAAGGCAGCCCAGTGGTAGTGGAGCTCTTAAAATTTGGCACACGCTGTAATAATAGTATTTGCAAGAAGAAGCCAGGAACTTTTTGTTGTGATAAGTCCTTTATGAAAGGAGACATGTAAGTCTACGGCCATACCACCCTGAATGCTCCTGATCTCGTCTGATTTCCGAAGCTAAGCAGGGTCGGGCCTGGTTAGTGCTTGGATGGGAGAAGACATTTAAGATAGCAGAACTTCTACATATAATTGGTAAAAAAAAATAAATGCAAATGACAATCAGGTTCGTTTTAACATATATCCCAGAAATATTTATTGAGTGCCTACTGTGTACCAGGCAGGCACTCTTCAAGGAGCTGGGGTGACCGTAGTGAACAGGAGGTCTGATCACTTGCTTTAGAGATTTCACCTGGAACTACTTAACCTACACAGTTAAACCTGGGCACGGGCCTTAAATTGTCTGAAGTGCTGAGGCCACTTGATTCGGTTGCAGTGTTCTCTTTCATTGGCTGGTAGCTCCACTAACCTCAGAAATAATCAGAAAACACCATCTATGCACATTTGGCATGGAAGTGGGAACTGGGTAGCAGAAAAACCAGGGCTGCGGCGGGGCTAACACGGACTGCCAGCAGTAGCGGGGACTTGA